AAATAAGTGGCCTATCAAAATTATTTTATTAGTAGTTAATATTATACTTATTTGTGCTAATATATTAATTATAATTTGAAATATTATTTAGCCTATTGTATATATTTCTATTAAAAAGGTAAAATAGTTACCTAGTTTATGACTTTGCTGAAATTATAAAGATCATTAGTTTTCAGTGAGTGTCCTCTCTGCTTCGCTGGTATTTCAGAAAAAGGAAGTTTCTACATAACAGTTTCTTTCTCCACCCCTTCAATTGATGGGGATTTATTATAAGTGAGGAGAAATGAGTAAAGAGTCCTATCAATGTTGAAGTCAGGCTTTGTAGAGAACTAAAACCTTGTTCAGGATACTACAGAGATTCCAGTGTAAGATAGAACTCCCAAGCTACCATTTTGGGGTCATGGCTTCTCTTCTAACACAGGTTCTGTATGCTACACTTTGCATACACTATTGCATATAGTCCTCATGAAGAGTAACTCTAAGGGTAGTAGAAAAAAATGGAAATTTATGGCAGCTAAATATCTTGCTCCAAATCATCCATTTAACTCTGGTCTGTCTTCAAAGTCCAATGAAGTACTTTTACAAATACTATTTCTCTGGGGCAGGATGAATAGAAGTAGATAGATTATACAATATGTCAAATCATGTGTCAAATACACAACTCTTTTGTTTTTTAGATATCTTACCTAAGAGCATATTTGTAACCTCTGTTTCCTATTTTATTTATTAAAATGTATTTTGTTGTAAAAACCCTCAATAAGTAAAATCCAGATTTATATGCAAAAACATTAAGAAATTATTATTTATTTTGTTAATGGCTCTTTGGCTTATTATAAAATGTTTTCTTTAAAAAGCCCCCATTAAAGTTTATGTTTTTATTTAAAATCCAATTAAATATTTTTTAACATTTGCTATCTTAGATGGTATTTATCTTATAGTAGAAAATATATAGAAGATATGATATAGTTTTGAACTTTAAATAACTTAAGTCCAGTAATGATGGAACAAACACATATAAATAATTAGTAATAGCATCAAAAATAAATTAGGAAGCATGTTGAGAATATATGCTGCTCTGGGGTCTGTAAAAAAAAAAACTAACAAATGAGGGAAAACAAGGATGAATAGGAAAAGCTCATCTGATTTTTAGGGAAGTGAAACTACTCATGTATGTGCATGTCACTATGCATTTGCCATAGAATGTACACCAACAGTGAACCCTAATGTAAACTATGGGCCTTGGGTGATAATGAGATATCAGTGTAGGCTTATCAGTTGTAACAAATAGTTTTTTATGGTGGTGGATGTTGTTAATAGGGAGGGACTATACATATGTAGGGGCAGGGGGTATATGAGAAATCTCTGTACACTCAGCTTAAGTTTGCCATGAACCTAAAACTACTGTAAATTAAAGTCTACTAAACAAACAAACAAAAAACAAAAGCAAAAACCCCCAAAAAACTAAGAAACTCATTGCTAGAATGGGATTTGAGGGAGAAGTACAATGCTGTTAGGTAAAAAAAAATAGGTGGAATGGAAGTAATCATACCTCTTATATGTGTACCTAGGTAGGCATGAGGGCAAAGCACGAGCAAGTGCTCTCTTGCCTAAGATATGGGATGCTTGTCCTCAATTGTTAAAAGAGGAGGCTGGAAAGGCAGGAGGAAGTCATATCATGGAGTGCCTTGACAAACAAAGTTGTTTTCATTTAATTGAGAGAGTCATTTCTGGTTATTGACCTAGCAAATTGATTGTTAGGTAAGTTGCTTCGGGAGTGGTGGGACTTGATAGAAAGAGTAGACAGGAGACTCATGAAGAATTTTAAGCAAAAGGTCGCTCTGCCCATACCAGGGAAATAATAATGGGAATGGAAAGAGGGGATAGATGGGAAAGATGATATGGTAATAAAATGTGTGAGACATAGAAATTGAGAGTTAAGGAAAAGAAGGAACTTGGGTGTCTAAGAAATTTTTAGAGTAAAGAGCTAGAAAGAAAGTTTCATGGGCAATTGAGTAAGACATTTTTCATAGGGTCAATTTTCAAGAACTTATTTTTTTTTAATTTAAAGAAGGTTTATTGAACTTCTAGAATAGGTGATAATTGCGTTTTCTTTGGTTACCTAAGGAATGAATCCATGCTAACTAAAGACAGTGTATATAAGCACAGAATAGCACTTGTGGCTTTGTCTGCAAAATAGAGTCAATGTTACTTTCAAAGGATACTACAGGGTTTAACAGAGCTTCCTATTGGTATTAAGATATCTAATGGCTTCAGACTATATTACATATTGCTAGCAAAAAGCTATGGTATGATAAGCATTATTATTGTAATAATGAATGAATGGTACTTTCTTTTTATCTCTATTGCTCTGAGGGATGGGATATTAGTTTTCCTTCAGAAAAAAGCTTCTATCTTAATTACAGAAATGCAAAGATGTATATAGTAATGAATATTTTTTATTAGGCTGCTGGGTGCTTCTTGCAAAATTAGATTTCTTTTGGTAGGTGAGGAAAGGTAAATGGGTACCGACTAGGTCACCTGCATTGTGTGCCACAATTATAGGCCAGGCCCTGGGATTAGCATATATTTTTCATTTAATCCCCAAAACCCTGTGCATTTGGTTCTATAATAATCTTCATTGAACAGATTAGAAAATGTAAAATAAAAGAATTTAAGTGACTTGTTTCTAAATAAAACAGCTGGTAAGACTTTGTGAATGAGGACAGCTGCAGTGGGAATTGTAAAGTGCAAATGGATGAATACAACATACATTTAGGTGTGAAAACTAAGCAGCCATGGGAAGCAATTGGATATGGGTTTGAGTAGGTTTGGGGCCAAGAGTTATTTAGGATGGCTCCATGGTTTCTGGCTTGCAAATCACATATAAAGTTGTTCCATTCCCTGAGATAGGGGATATGTGAGGAATATATGTGGGAGAGGAGATTATGAGTTTTAGCTTAGGCAGACTGTTTGAGATGAGTGTGAGATATGCCAGGAGAGAGATTTAACGGGTTGCTGATTATGAGGATTAGGAGGCTTAGAAGATAGGAATGGACTGAAGATAAAGCTTTTGGGGTCATCGGTTACAAATTAATTATTAAAGACACGGATGAGTATATAATATTTCTCAAGGGCACTGTGTAGAATAGATGAAAGATGTGTGACACCCAGGGGAACAACAGCCTTGAAGAGGAGGGCAGAGAGAGAGGCTTACAGAAGGCACTTGATAGGAGTGCCCAGGAGTGAAAAATCCTCAGAGTAGACAGGGTTTTATTTTAGAGTTTAGTAATGCCATTTCTTTGTGAAATAGCTATTACAATATTGCACCTCCTTTACATCTCTCCTCTGTCATTATTATGTTGAATGGCACATTTTGCATCTCCACTGTGAGAAGAAGATATAAAATCATTTCATTTAAACTACCAGTGCATGTTATATGACTGACATGGGTATTTGCATACTTGTTTTAAAAATCACAGATAAGTTTTGACAGAAATACTGGTGGAATCTTCAAAATGGTAAACGCTTATCCTTTACAACATCCTGAGTCTGGAGACAGGGAAGATAGGGCCTATTATAATTTTTTCTTCAACTACTACTTTTACTTTAGGAGTCATTCATTGATAATTGCAGATGATAGTAACTTTGAAAGGTTTATACAAATGTATACCTCACCAAAATGTAGATAAAACAGTTTAAGTAGGAGTGCTCATGTAAGACAAAAATATCTTGGTTAACAGACATTTTTATCATGGAAGTTTATATTGTTTATGCAAACCTGCTCAAGAGCATACCTATGACTAGGATAAAGTAGCTCATGTTGTTGGAAACATTTCATGATTATACAGTTGTGTTAGTTTTTTTTTTTTCATTTTTAGAAGTAGACACAATAACAACTATAAATATTTGATTAACGGCAGAGTCAACAGACTGAAAGAACCCTCATAAAAATAACGTTATAGTTATGTCAAATGAATTTAGTTAAGCTAGGAACTTGATTCCTGGTTTTCTCTCAATTTTAATGTCAGTTGAGATCACAGTATTTCAAAAGGTAATTAGTAGTCATAGGCATGTTCAAAATTAAATTAGAAATGTTAAAGAAAGAATTTTTTTAGCCTGACATGGTGGGCGCCTGTGATGCCAGCTACTCGGAGGCTGAGACGAGAGAATTGCTTGAACTTCAGAGGCGGAGTTTGCAGTGAGATGAGATCGTGCCATTGCACTCCAGCCTGGGCAACAAGAGTGAAACTTTATCTCAAAACAAACAAAAAAAATATTTTTAGAGAAATAGTGGCAATATATTTAAAGTAGTAAAAACACAAATTTTAGGTAGATTCTGGTTTCAAATCTGGAGTAGAACCTGTTCAGTTCTTTTTAGCATCAGACCAAAATTAGTTTTCTTATTTCAAGCAAAAGAAGAAGAAAGCATAAGTATTTGGAGTACCGCAAAGCTCCAGGGTATTCTAGACTCCATGGCAAACCTAATCTATTTATTGAGAGAAATCTGTAGTACCAAGACTAATTGTTAGAGTATCCTATATATTTCAGTTTTTTTTTCGAATCTATGGTAAATGGACATGTATAATAATTCAAAATGCCTCTAAAGAACCTTCCCAAAGGCATTCTTACAGATCTTCTAGTCTTACACTTCCTTCTAGTTTCTGTGTATATTTTGTATTAACTATAAGGCAGGTTGCTTTTTTTGCCTCTTTATTAAATAAATGGGGGTATGAATGTTCTTGATTTTATTTGTGTAATGCTTCATATCACATAATTCTTAGAATTATGTGATTATAATGCCTTGGTTTAGGAATATACTAATTTTACCTATATTTAAACATATAGCCATTTAAGGAACATGCTTTTTTTTTTTCTTACAAAACCATTCCTTTGTTCTTTTACTTACTGATTTCACTATATGTCAGTAATAATTTTTCATGGGGGGAATAGGCTGGTTATTTCCTACATCTTAAAATCTGATTCTTTTTTATTTGTTGTAGGTTTTATTGGGATTTAATAATGCTTATAATGATGGTTGGAAATCTAGTCATCATACCAGTTGGAATCACATTCTTTACAGAGCAAACAACAACACCATGGATTATTTTCAATGTGGCATCAGATACAGTTTTCCTATTGGACCTGATCATGAATTTTAGGACTGGGACTGTCAATGAAGACAGTTCTGAAATCATCCTGGACCCCAAAGTGATCAAGATGAATTATTTAAAAAGCTGGTTTGTGGTTGACTTCATCTCATCCATCCCAGTGGATTATATCTTTCTTATTGTAGAAAAAGGAATGGATTCAGAAGTTTACAAGACAGCCAGGGCACTTCGCATTGTGAGGTTTACAAAAATTCTCAGTCTCTTGCGTTTATTACGACTTTCAAGGTTAATTAGATACATACATCAATGGGAAGAGGTAAGATGCATCTTTTTCTTTTTTAAATCTATATCATGAAACTGTTAAATATGACTTTTTTAAATGAACAACTGCACTACATGTAATGAGTTTTATGAAATTCAAGTAGAAAAATGTACTTGACTCTTCTTTTCCATGCATAAGTGATATATTTGTATCCCTAAAATATATGATCAAATAATATATTTGAATGAGCTGAAAAAAATAGTGATCATTTTATGCCAATTTATATTTTAAAATGAATGCACTTTAATTAACAATCATTATCCTGTTCAATACAACCCTTCTCCCACCTTGCTTTTTTTTTTTTAAATCTAATATGAATACATCAAGTATCATCTTTGATAAAGATGTGTAGGGTCTGATTGCTAATCTAGTACATCATTAGCTCTATGAGATAGTGTGGTTTTTGTCTCCTCTAATATTGATGTTTCATTGAACTCATGTTTGGGTAAAACAGATTGCTTCTTTATTTCCAAGTTGTATATATAAAGGCTTTGTTTTCAGTGTATTAAAATTTTGCTCACTATTAGGCCTTGCTTATAGTAATTTATTATAGTTTCTCCCTATTAATTCATTTCATGATACTAAAAAAGAGCATATTCATGGGGGACATTGTACATAGAAAACACAAAGAATACAGTGAATAAATGGAGTGAATCTTGACTAGTCAGACCCATATTTTGCTGAATAGGGCATCTGCTGTTCTCAGACGTGGGTAGGACCTGAGAAGGCTCAGCCAACTGGAGTTTCCAAAGATCTGAGTTAAACCATCATCAAGCAAAGGAGCTTATATCCCTATCTTCAAAGTCTGCTTATTAACCATTTGACTTCCTTTTCTTCCTAAGTCTGTTTGTATTAATTATAAACTGAATTTTATTGTCTTCATAAACGTAACAGTCCTAAAGACCTGTAGAATGCCTAAACCAATACTAATGAAAGTCATATAAAGACATATACTGGATATAGATTATTGCTTTACTCCCTACAGAAATACTTTTTAGCATTTTCAAGATAGATTATGCTTTTAAATAAGTCATAAAATGGAAGTTCTGTTTGATTTCTGTGAGGTGGTAGCAGTGTTTTTGTATGTGCTTGTCGGTGACATTTTGGTTCACAGGATTTCAGGAAATGACATGAAATAATAAAACACTGCATAATACACTGATAAAAAGGCATAAAAATGGATCATTCTTAAAATATGGATATGGGATATATTTAAAATCAAATGAAGCACATTTGAGAAATCGGATTCATCTTGTAATTTTTCTCTATATAACACATTCCATCTAAAATGGAATAAATGTTCAGTTCTCAAAGCTTTTTTATGCTAACTTGAGATTAATACCAAACCAAGATGATTCTTGCTAATAATTGCTAATATTTATTGAAGGCTTATTACATGTCATGTAGTATGTTTGATCCTGTACATGTATTAGGTCACTGAATCTTCCTAACAACTCAGTGATGTAGATATTATTGTCATCATTTAACAGATGAGAACAATTAAATACTATAAGGTAACTAACTTGTCCAGATTCATATAACTAGTAAGAAGTAGCGCTGGGATTCTAAACTTGGCAATCAGAGTCAGGATCTAGTGCTCATAACTGCAAAAGTACATAAGTTCTTACTGTGACATATACTGTTTTAGTTATAAGTATCTTAATATTTTACCATTTTATAGATTTTCTAAAAAATTGTAGGGAACTTTTCTTAAGTAAGACAGTGGGGCATTCAATGCAATAAAGTTGAACAGTACCTTTTAAAACAAGGCCACAGAAAAATATTTTAACAAATATCCTGTGAAAGGAAAGTCACTGATATAAATATCCAGTCAATTAAAAATACAGTAGCAATGTGACTATTTTTAATGTCTTGTGGTTTTAGCCCAGTTACCCTAGAGAATGGCAGCAGGATGAACAGATGGCATTCTATCAGATAAAATGGCAGGCCATGTGGTCATAGAAGAGCCTACTCCTTAACACCAATGTCCTTTGGCTTCTGGCAGTAATCACAGGCACCTAGATCTGTGCAACATGATGTGTTTTAAAGATGTCATGATATAATTTAAGAACATCAGCTCACTGCTATCATTATTGTAAAATGCAATTTAATAAGCACTTACAGACATTTGGTAACCAAGTACATTCACGCTAGAGTTGTGAATTGGCAAGATCTTTCTTATAAATAAATAACCTTGGTAATAAATGAACCATAAGCCCATTCAGATGAAGAATGTTTTCTTGATTATACGATATCCCATATAATATTGTGTATCATGGGTATTTAATGCCTGTTAGTAATACTGTTAAACAGGGAAGAAACAGAAGAATAATCCAGAATTTAATAACAATTCATCCTTCTATCACCTACATTATTCTAACCATAATCACAAAGAAACTTGAATGATTCCAAAACTGGAAATCTCTCTACCTGATTTTTGTAAATGCCACAAGGATATGTTTACAAGTAGAAATACAACAAATAAATCAGAAAAAGTAGCTCTGTGAGCTTTTGAAATAAGAATGTAGAGGAAGATGTGAGTTCTCCCACATGTCTTTGATTCTCAGTGTTTTAGTACCAAGCTGGCTAATGCTAAATTCAGCAAATTTGGGGAAGTAATGTGTGAAGTCTGGAAGCTGTCACAGTTCTAAATGAATCATTCCTGAGGAAAGCTGCTGCCTTCTATAGGAAACTGCTTCCATCTTCAACAATACATTTTTTTTTTCTGGACTGAATTAGTTCAACTGAAAAACAACAAGAAGACCTGATGCCAGATAAATTAGAAAAATATTATGAATGAGATACAGAAGCTTTAAAATTTTGTCCTTATGTTATTATCATTTCTAAAGCTGAATTAATGTTTAATACAGGAGGAAATAGCTGATTTGGGCAACTAATTTATGAAACACATGGCGTTAAGAATGAAGAGGGAAGTTGTTTTCATGAGCCAATTATAAGATCAATAGATTTAGGATGTAAAAATAGCTCTCTGTGACATTAAACTGAAACTTTATATATATTGCCAGGTGAGGTAAAAATCGGAGACATTTTAGATAAATCAAGCCAATAATGTCTTCTCTTGCAATAGCTAGAAAACCGAGGTGAATCTTTCCCGTTCTTTCATTTGAGTTAAAAAAAAATTGTTTGAATTCAGCATTGTTGTTACTGTATTACAAGTAAAGATAGTGATCCAAGCCAGACTGCTATTTCGTAACCTCTCACAAGGGGACCCAATTCTGTATGATCCTTCTAAGAGAGACATACGGTGAGGAAATCCCTGGAAATTAAATGGAATATGTGACAATCACAAGCCACTGAAGAGATAAAGAGTAGATTAAGAGCTTAGTGAATAGGAGATTATTCAGTTTGTAAAGGTGAAGAGTTCCTTTACAGCTGCTGATCTCAGTCATTTTATCAATAGGAGATGACCTTCGAAATGTTTTAGAGGTTTAGGAAATATTAATTGCAAAGAGAAATGCTATACTGTAATGATTATCTCTTTGTAGGACTTAATGTCATAGATAAAGCATAAATATTTCATAGTTAATTTTAAAAAGTAGGAAATGCATCATTATATAATAACTATGGCTTTGGAATATATAACCTTAATATTTTATTTTTTAATCATCGTTTTGAATCTCCCCAACCTCCCTTGTATAAAACTGGGACAAATCACAATTAATTAAATACATTTTGGGGCAGGAAAAAGGGCTTGTGGTTTTGATCTTATATCTTTATAGCAATTTCAGATGAATAATGTGTCTTGAACATTTCAATGCTTCTCTTGAAACCAATATTAGATATTTATACTGGCTTAGAGATAGTTTTATATACAAATTGTATGTAACAACAGAGAAGTAATAAGGAAATTTATTCTACAGGGAACTAATGCAGATTACAGTTTCTGTCTTTGGTTAATTTTAGCATTCAAATTGGTGTAGAGTAGAAACTATTACTATAAATTGCCTATCTATTATTTTATAATACATATTTTAATTACTTTCATATTTTAAAAAACACATAGGATTCTAAGACTTGCCATAAGCAAACAGCAGATTGTCCCAAACCTGCCCTGTACTAGATCTTAGAGAGGCTCCCTGTTGCTTATCACATCAAATCTGTTTCTTTGCTGTGCCTACAAGGCTCTCCAGCACATTGTTCCTTGCTCTTACCATTGTCACTTCATATTTGCACCCAACTCTTTTCTGTTTGTTTGTGTTGTTTTACAGTGTTGCTTGCAGAAAATGATTCTTTCTGCTTCTATAATTTTACTCCTGCTACATCTCTGATTTGGAAAGACTTTTTTTTTTTCTGTCACACCTTTAAAAATCAGACTTTAGACCAGGCGCAGTAGCTCACACCTGTAATCCCAGCATTTTGGGAGGCTGAGGTGGGTGGATCACCTGAGGTCAGGAGTTCAAGACCAGCCTGGCTAACATGGTGAAAAATGTCTCTACTGAAAAATATAAAAATTAACTGGGTGCGGTGGCAGGTGCCTATAATCCTAGCTACTCTGGAGGAGAACCACTTGAACGTGGAGGTTGTAGTGAGCTGAGTTCGTTTCGTTGTACTCCAGCCTGGGTGACAAGAGCAAAACTCCATCTCAAAAAAAAAAAAAAAAAAAAGAATCAGGCTTAAACTAATTTTCGGAAAGTATTCTATATTGATGGACTCTACTGTGACAGTCAATACCTTTACAATGAAAATTTCTACTGGCTCTACATGCATGTGTTCATGATCATTTGGTTACTAATGCTTTATTACACACATTTTCCTTTCCTTTTGCCAGACATAGACATCATAGGGAAGAATCAGTGTCAAATTTTGCCCTTGAATTTTTTGATATACTAGTGCAGGGTTATAAATACAATAAATAATCAGAGCATGCTTATCCACTAAATACTGGCAATCTCCCATGCTCTAAATCCATTAAATAATAATAAGAGAGTATTCGTTCTTCACTCCCAAGGCTTTACTGAGTAATCTGTTATGTG